AACTCGGTAGATATATGTATCAAAAATATACAAGTCCACTAGCGGCCTACTAGTCGGATAAACGAAACGAAGCCAAGTTTCTTCAGCCAAAGGGGCGTGAGTCACATTCCCGTAAAGTTTCCAGTGCGGAATGTGGTGTTGTAATATCGCGGGCAATAATATAGTCATTCGTACGAACCGTGGAGTAACATTCACCCCGACACCCTGCACCTCTCATTCCACCATGAACCCACGTCCTTCACCTCTTTGACCCAATTACGCAGAGTCTATTATATTCTTTAACATTATATGGAAATAATATACTATTATACTCATAAATAAAATTGTTTAATTATTATATAAAAATTAATTCATTATAATGAATAAATTTTTATCTACACAGTATAACTGTTCTTTGTGGCGATAGTAAAAGTAACTTACGTTATGATCACATGTTACCCTCCACATACATATTGTTATGACAATGTTAATACTATCTAATATTATCCATGTCGAACGACTGTTGACCCGTTTGAAATTATGATAATATAGGTACACGATTGATTGCTCAGTGGGTGGTCAAACTAGACGCATTATAATTTATCGTTTCAAAAACTAGAGCAAGGTAACACTTTGGCCTTTTAGATGATAAATTAACCTTTACAAGAAGTATATTGTTGATCTTATGTCACCGATTCGCCGCACTTATTTCGTACGACATTTTATCGACCTTTTACTATAGCAATTTACGAGTTCCCAATTAAGTTTTAACTTGGGGAAATCAAAAACAACTTTAAAAATACACTTTAAAAAAACATCCTTGAAGTGACCCCTTACAATATTACGATTCCAATGGGAAGGGTAGCTCTAAAGATGTACAGACTAATCGCAGAAACTTGTTAGTTATTCAGTTGATTATAACTCCCCTCTGGCCATTGTATCATTATTACCATTTACTGAACGCACGTGTCGACTTGTGCCCGCCACAAGGCAACCCTCATGCTCCTCAAGGCCGATAATTATAGACTGTCTTTTATTACTATATTGAGTACCTACTTAAGTCAGAATAATGTATAACATAACTTAAAAATAGTACTTATGTGATAAATAACACTTTAATGTTGTTTTATTATTCATTTACCTATACGTCTATGTACTGTGTGATTTGTAATTTAAACATCTTACTATGTATCTAATCTTGTATAAAGCACTTTGTAATTTTCGTACATATTAAGTACAATTCAACACAATTTAACAAGTAGGTATTATTATTATTTGCGCCTCAAACTGCACGTTATTGTTTTGTAATAAGTAATTAATAGTGTGAAAAACTTATACCATTGTGCTCAATGAATATGTTAAATTAATAATTGAAAAAACAGGTAATGTTTTATGCTCAAAATATATTTTGCAAGTCATATTAGTGCATATGAAATATTACTTCAACATATTAATATTTTTTTATTATCATATTTTTAGGCAAATACTCCTATATGAAAACAGGACTGTGCCATTATGCAGGTACATAAAGAAATTATTCCCAATGCAAGCATACGAACGGCTGCGGGTCCTAGTGGTTTAATTAGAAATTCAACTCCGAACAGTTGCTATAGCTGCGTCAGCTTGTCGTCCCACTCCCGAGCCCTTGGGGAAATAACTTACCCATTTAACAGATATTGATGGAGGATACTTATAGCGCTATTGATTTTCTTATTAAGAATACGCGAGCTATTCACACAGGATCTGCTTCATCATAGAAATCTTCATGACAAAGCAAGAAACTTTACCAAAAAAACTATTAGATTTTCGTAGACCTTATATCGTCAATGAAAAAACTTTTATGACATTTATTTGCACAAGAAGAGAATTTCGGTTATAGTACTCTTCAGGGAAATTCAAAAGCGGCTAAATTTACACATGGGAAATCTAGCTCTACGTAACCGTTGTCTCAAAGAATTTAGATACGAATCCGTATTCCAGGTAGAACTTCGGTTTTGTGGGACAGGAATACACTTAAGGGAGACAAAAGCTCGATAACAAATACCGGTGTATTAAGGCTCTACATTTTGCTATGAAAAGATAGTCAATTGGCAGTTAATAAATAAACTGAAATGTTATGCCTATAGTCTTAATAGAACTTCAGTTTGTCGTGTGTTAACCAGATAGTAAAACCATGAATGAACGCGAGAAAGGCGGCGCGCCGCAGTTACACAAATCATAAATTCTTGCGTGTGAGCAGCGGCCGCGACCCTTGCACTGGCGCAGGGGCGAGGTGCGCGGGCGCAGACTGCAGACGCCAACGTTAAGTAAATACACATATGCATCGCTATGAGATGAAAGTCGGCGCCTGCCCACTTATCGGCTCCATGCACCCGTTTGATTATGCGCGCACTGTCAGCACCCCGAAATAGATGTAAACAAGCTACCGAACGAGGATGATTCTTTAAATAAATGTTGCAAGACGTGTGTTCGACTCGAGACTCTCGTTAATTCCGTAGCGACTTTAAACATAAATTTATTTCTAATCACATTATTACCTACGTATATTTTTTGTTCGCTTCTAAGTAACTAATTAGATATATATAGAACCAACATTACTTAATTACCTACTGTAAGAGAACTAATTCAAGTAATACCTACATAACTACACAAGTAGCAAAGTAATACTGTTCGCAGACTAGGTCAATTCATCAGTTTTGCGTAGCGGCAACAAACCACAAACGGCCGATGGGACTTTAACGAGCCCTCGTCTAGAAACATTGGGTTAAGATCCATCTCCTTCATTGTGCCGCCATCAATCTACCGCTGGTTACGATCTATCTTCCTCAAGGTAAGCTTTATTAACCCTAGCGTGGTATTCACATATAGATATAGAGAGGACCTATAATCCGCAGTTTCTTTGGAGATAAAGATATCAATACCAACAAATTACTGCACTCACAGGGATAAAAGGTATTCAAATAAGAAATTTGTGCGGACGCCAGGTGCGTTCTACATCCGTTTCAACATGAAGCAAAAAAATGTTAGGGCTTGAGTAAAAACGCGTATCCTGCAATATTTAACTATAATGCACCTAAAACTCCCATTGACAGAGATATATGCTGAGATGTGTAAGTGCGTACCTACTATAGGTATTAGGATTGAAATTGGAAAGTAAATCTTTACTTCGTTTTATAGCAGTAGAGCTCCTTGTGAAAGAGTTCGTCCAGGAAAGTACTGCCAGCTTAACTATTTCTGCGGCCAAGCATTAATGTCAGCATTACTGTGTTCCGGTTTTGAAGGATAAGGGTGCTGGTAAAATTACAGGCACATGGGACTTGTCAACTTATGACTCAGGGTGACGGGCGCAGTGGCTGTGCCCCTTAGATCTTTGCGATTTAACCCCTAAATTGTTATGGACATGCGTGTAGCTTACAATCAGGTGCACAAGTTGTTCGTAACGTCACTTGATATTATAAAAAAAAACCTACCAAGGCAATCTAAATATTAGATATTATATTTTACATGGAAAACTTCGAACTTTCACGAAGAACAATTGAAAGGAAATATATAAAAAAAAGTTTCTTGAGGCGTTGTAAAGGTTGACAGTGCCGTTCGATGTGACTTCGGGAATTCAATATACCAATAGATTGATGAGGGTACAAGAGGTCGGGAATATTTTCAAGTTTTTGCACTTTTTGGACAAATACTTATTAAATTCAGTTCGCGTCAGATCGCTGCAGGACAAAAGTTTTCATTTAAAAAATTTGAATAGCACTATTTGAATCGCAGGCTTGTTAAGAAGTACTATAGATTTCAATGTTATGGAGCTGTTTAAAATATCTTACACTTCGTTACACTACGTAAATTTTAAATTGTTAAATACATAGATACTTAGCTTTGTTTCTTGTGTTAAAGAAGTGATATTTTGGTGCAATGCACATTGTGGCTGAGGTCTCTATCTCAACAAAAGCTGTTTGTCTATCGGTCGAAATCAACATTTTATGTTTCTACCTGATCCGAACACACCTGTCGTCAGATACAAAATGAAAACAACGTGAGCTCTGTGACTCTACCAACCAATATATAAGTATACTTAAATGAAACACGCATAACTTAGTTGAGGACTAATACATCAAAGTTTGCTACGACCAGACAGCATAAATATTAGGTTACGTTATCTAATTTATCGATTAAAAATCAAGGATCGTTCTTATAATAAATTCTCAAGTAATATGAGATTTCCGAGAACCGTTGTTTGCACGCCGCATTATTCCAGATAATTATGATTATTTAAAAGGCGGAACCGATAGCTGTAGGCGATATCGGCAGATGTCCTTATAACAATGGATGGTCTTTCTACAACTGTTTTCTCTAAAGTGCCCGTTATTTAGTGTTTTGATACACAATTTGCCCTATGACAAAAATCAACGTTATTTCAAATAATTGATTATTTTAATTAAGAGCATTATGTTATTACTTTACTGTAGGACGTAATGATTGGTAAGCAGGCGTAATATTTGTTTCGATGATTTTTTTAGGCTATTACCAGAGCAGCATGCGCAATAACCGTGAATGTCCACACAAACGAGATTGGCGCACGCAAAAAATTGATCTTTTCCCACGAACCGTCCCATTTGTTCCTCGGGCCCACGGCGTGGGTCTTATGACTTATTTTTCACCGGTTATGATGAATAGAGTGGTACGACGATATTCCATTACTTTACGACGGCCATATTTTATTACAAAAAAGGTTCGTGCAATTTAGAGTCTATTTCCAAAAGTGTTGGTAGCATTCATAAATTTTAAAAAGTACCCAAAAAGTAAATAAACTTCTAAAATTGTAAAAAAAAATTGTTATGCCTTTAAGTAAAGAAAGCATTATTCATTATTGTGATTAGAAGACTACTCACATACAGATACAGGTGGTAAAAGTTAATTGTCTTTACAATAGCAACCTACGGTCGCAGAGATAGTCAGCACTTAATCAAAATAGATGTTATTGATAAAATAACAAACGATTGTCATAATACCATTCTTACCTGTTAGCATAAGCAAAATCAAACTCCGCATGTTGAACTACTTTCGCGACCGGTAAGCAACGTTTAGTCCGGAGATGTTTGTGCCTGAGCCATCGCTTTTTCCTAGGACCAGTCCCGTCAGTGCACTTATGCTAGAGCACTGTTTACGCGACTCAGCTGACGTCCTAAAGTCTGCCAATTAACCACACACTCGCGCACTGCGGGATCCGCACGCTGCAGTGTCAACGGCCACGAGCTTACGAGAAAAACTAGACACTCGGCGAAAGCTGTCCTTCTCGGGGTCACGTGGTATTACCCCACAGACCTTGTCCAGTACACAACAATTACTCATTCATGGCGAGAAATGTGAAGTACAAAAGTTAGCAATTCCCTTCTGTGATGAAAACATGACACATGGCTCGAGCGGCGACGAAAGCTCCTCGCGCGCGATCGCAGTACACGACGGTTCACTCGCGAGTTGCGTGAGTGGGCCGGCCGGGCGCGGGGCGGGCCGCGGGGGACGTAGCAGCGGGGGGCGGCCGCACGCCTGCGCACCGCGTCCGCGCGCCACCATCTCCAGTATTGACCGACGACGCCTCCTTCCTACATTACACATCTTTAACTAGGCACTACGAACACCTCTTTCGAAAAATCCCCTAATTTCTGCTTTCCGATTGAGATAGGCCACGTCTATGGGCACGCGAAGATAGGGTAGATATGCAAGCAATAATTTCTCCCATTTTACTATTCATACCAGACAAACCTAGCGTATGGTAGGATTCTTCGCCAATTTTATTTCTTGAGTCACAAACTCATAAAATATATTATGTACCTATCTCCTACAACGTACACATATTATTATGTCGTCGTAGTCGTTTCTTCATTTGCAAATTTGTTTCGACCACAATCCAAACTTAATAAAATACAATACAATCATCCCTTACCGTAGAGCCTTAAGATATATGTACGGCTATATGCAGTCGATGACGTCAACAAAGTTCACAAACCTGTGTAAGGTCGCAAAGTGAAATAGTGAACGCATGACTTTATTTATTTGCTTTACTAGTCTGTGACAAGAATAATAATAATTTTATGGATAGATCCAAGAGAAAAGTTCGCAAAATTAAACCATAAACCGATATTTACAGCTATCAAAAAAAGTGAATAAAAATAATTACTACATTTTAATTGGTACCTATTCAAAAAATGTTGGTCGCGAATTATCATTTACACATTCGATTTTTGTAATATCTATACAACCAAGGTAGCTGTAAAAAATCCCGGCACGCGGGGAGAATGACAGCCCCAGCTCCATCTAGGTGAATTTTCAGTTATTACTTACTTAAGTTTTCACCAACATTGCGGTTTGTTTCCAAACACAGAGAAAATAATTAATCAACTCATTGATAGCATGGTAGAATTCTACAATGTAGATAACATTAGTTTACGAAATATCAATAGTAGATTATGTACCTATAATTGATATAGAAAAGCAACAGACATAGATAATAAGATTTTTACATTTCAAGACATGATATCGCATCATAATTTACACTGTTATTATAATAAAGTACCAGACAGCCACCAATAACCCTGAACCAATTTAGAAAAGGTAATTTCCCAAATTCAAATCAAATCCTGGTCCTTCTCACCCAGTGCCCACTCAGCCTCTCAGCCAGTGTCTTTATTATTATATGTATATTTTACTACTCGTCGAGTTCTTGGGTTCTCTAGATTACTATTTTATCGGATCTAAATCGCGTATATTTGTTTTTTCGAATACAAATAACAATAAATAATATTAGACATAAGGGTTGATGACTAATACCAACCGTGACCACGGGACTTGTAAAGAAACAGATTTTTTTTGATAAATGTACGTAATTACAAGTCAAAATGAAATTTAATATTTTTTAGTACTGGTAATAATCTCACCTATTTTTAGCCGACTTCAAAAAAGGAGGTTTTCAATTCAACTGTATGTTTATTTGTATGTATGTTACGCGATAACTTGTGAACCGATTTTGATGATAATTTTTTGTTGGAATAAGGGTACCTTAGCAGTGGTCCCATTTAAATTTGAAGAAAATATTCCACCTCTAAGGATGGCAAACTAGGGGATAAACCCAGTTTCTCACTCTTTCCGGTAACCGATTGCAATAAATTTGACAAATAGCCATTGACCTACCAACAAATGGACATCGGGTCTAATACAAAAACCACGAAAAAAATGTCCGAGGTAACCTATACAAATGTAGTGACATGTAACGAAATATAAAAAACTAAAACTTTTAATTTAAATTGTAACGTCATTGCAGTACTATCTAAATTTGCTTACAACAATTTAAGGGCCCAAAAACACCATATTTAGCTTCTACTGGAATCTTAACAAAATGCACCATATTTAGCTTCGACTGAAAATTACTTGAACACAAGAGTAATAGAATCCTTTCTATAATAGAATAGCCTTTCTCGTAAATATTAATTAATTATTATATATATTATTATGTCGAATTTTGTACAAATTCACTTAAATGTATAATAAAGGGTTGGGCAGATACATACATACAAATATTACTACAAATGTGAAAATAAGCGTGTACTTTAAGAAACGTACCGATATTCTAACTAAACGTAAACTCAATTATCCGTAATTCCGATTTATAACAAAACCGTTACGCTTTCGGGTAATTTTGATGCTTTTTACATAGACAAAATTAGCTTTTGTTTTGTAATCTTCGTAAAAACACATTAAATTAAAATTCGAGCTAATTTTATTTCGGGCAAATGTATTTTCTGACTTTTCACTTTTGATAGGTAATCCCATGCCGTAAAACGAGTACAACAATATTTTGTTAGTTATTGCTAACGTTTAATAAAAAAATCATTTTAAAAATAGGATTATAATCAAAGCAACTCTACAGTTTCCTTGTTCTAAATATTTCAATCGTCTAAATATCACAACAGGTTCGAACAATTGAAAATGACCAGAAGTATATATAAGCTTCTTGAAACTGACGTAATGGTTCTCTTTCCATCTTTTGCGCATGCAATGAGTAGAAAAAGGACAGTTAGCTATTTCATTATTTCGTGTGCTTTTGTAATTTATATTTACGATTCAGTTATATATAAATTAAATACTATAAAACTGTACAAAATAACACTTTTAAATGACAACTATGATAACACAATATATTTGTTTAATGAATTTATGATACAAAGTCCTGTTTTCACATTTTACTCCAGTAGTTTTTACAAGTTATTATTATTAGTACTGCATGATTGACAACCGCGGTGTCGCTCGAACAAACGAAGACTATTGCGCGATTGACGCTCTGTATGCGATTTTAAAGCCCTACAGGTGCGGACACTTTTTAACGCGAACCCGACGTCCATTTATTGGTAGGTCAATGCAAATAGCTGTAATTTTGAGCCACGAACTTTCGAGGTCGGTTTTTTTAGTACTCTGTACTGAGATTATTATGTACGTCATACAATCCGGAACTCAACCTGTAGTCATTAAAAACAGAAAGATAATTAAGAAATAATTAACTTACTAAAGTATCAAATATTTAATGAATCTTACAGATATTACATTCTATGTGTTAAGAAAATACTATTGTCTAATATAATTATATAACCTAAGTTCCCTGGTTTTCAGCTGTTATGCGGTCCTGCTTGATTTTAGTCCATGCTTGTATGAGTTGTTTTCGAATTTCAAATGCTATGACTGCCGCAGCCATTCCAGTGTTAAGACTGTCTATACCTCTTGAAAGAGGTATGTTCAAACGCAGACCATTTCTGCTTGCCGCTAATCTGTAAATTTAATAACAAAAATATAAATTAAGTTACCATAAACAAGATAGCCAAGCACCTCTGGCAACAGCCACGAAATAAATATAATATTCTTCACTTTTTATTAAATTACATGTTTAATACTGTTGTTAACTCATAATCTTAAAGTCAGTTTTAATTATTATGAAACAAATTTTGAACGTTGTAAATTGTACCTTAAGGAATAACAATAAATGTCTTTTTTTTGTAATATTAAATGACGGGACAAACAACTTGTGCACCTGGTGGTAAGCGAAAGGTCTGTCCATAATAGTTTCAGGCAGAAGCGGCTCGTCCCAAAGAGCGCTGGGGCAGTGAACGGTGTCGGACCTATCCAACCCACCAAAATAAAATTATTAATTATGCTTTCATATTATATTAGTAGCCCAAGAATTTTTTTTATTAATGAAGGACAAACATACAATTAGATTTTTATCTTTCTCTTTAATATAGTATAGCATACTAACCCTTGAGTGGAATGCTTCGCGATTTTTTACAAAGTTCAGTAATGAGTGCAAAAGGGAAATTTCTTTACGGCGCGACACGTGAAACAAAAGATTACAATGCGATAATCTCAGTACCAAGTACTAAAAAAACCAACCTGAAAAGTAGGTGGAATTACATATAATTACCAAGTTTTATTCAAATCGGTTACCGGAAAATGCGTAAACCCGGATTCATCACCTAGTTCGCCACTATACGGGACTTGACACAGGACATAATAAAAACTCAAAGTATACTGAGAGAGAAAAACGCCTTAAATTGGAGAATAGTAAAATCGACAATTAAAATAATTGGTCCTTATAATAAAATGTAGGCGCTATTTATAAAAATGAATCTTCATGCGTGTACAGCCACACTTAGACGAGGATGATTTTCTTTAAAATTAAATGGGACCACTATGGAGGTACCCCTCTTTCCAACAAAAAAAGAATCATGAAAATCGGTTCACAAATACCGGAGTAATCGCGTAACATACATACAAGGAAAAAACAATATATAATCGAATTGAGAACCTCCTCCTTTTTTTGAAGTCTTAAAAAGTCTGTTAAAAATTAACAAGATATAAGCGGCGTTCCGCGCAACGTTGCTGTGCCGTGCATCCCTGACGCGACGACTAGGTGATTCTGCACTCCGCCTCTGCGCACTGTTGCCAGTTTCATTTGTCAAATAAACAAACCGTATTTTTTCGCGCGCATTTTGTTGTGTTGTAAAAATTATTATTATTCAATCGTTGTTAAGAAGCGTAGTGTTGTTTAGTAACAAAACAATGTGACTTTCATTTTTTATTTAAAGTATGTGTAGGTAAGTGAACTCCTACTGAAATCACCCACGAGCCGCCTCTGGTTGCAGTGTCACTCACAGCTTTAAATCACAATGACCTAAAGGGCGCTGCCTCTACGCCCGCCGCCCTGAGATATAAGTTAACAAGTCCCATGTGCCTTTAAATTCACCAGCACCTTACCCTTCAAAACTAAAACGCAATTTGCTTGGTGGTAGAAAAGATGGTAGTACTTCCCTGAACGAATTCAACAAGGAACACTAATGCTACTAAAAAATATTACCTATAGCTATCTTCACTGATGCCTTCTGTCTCACCACCAATAACCAATGTTATATGATGCAATGTAGAATATTGCACTCCATAGTAAGGCAACACGGGTATCCGCAAGGCATCAAACTTGTCATCAACTCCTTCATATTCTGTAATTTTGACATCACTGTCGGCAATAAATACACTTGTGTGTTCTTCTAAAAATTTTGGCATGTCTTCCCAATCAATTCCATTGTGAATCGGAAGTCGAAAATGGGCTCCAGCAGCACTTCTCACAACTTTTGGTTCCCATACATCAACACAACCTGAAAAATATAACATGTGTACAGATAAGATACAGTAATCAAAATGCTTAGCAAGTGTAAACAAATGCAAAATCCAGTGCAAATCTAGACTAACCTTTATTCAATAAAAATAGAATATAGAATAAAATCAAATAGGACAAAACACACAAAACAAACAAAAAAAACTAAATATAATGACTACAAATATTGTACTGTCATTTGTGTGGTTGAATAGATATTTAAAAAAATTATCATAAATTTACAGCCTAGATCAGCACTAGGCATTGTCAATTTTACAACCTAAACATCATCACTAGACTTTGTCAATGCAATACATTATGGTAGAATGTTAAAAAAAATGGTTCATAATATGTCACACTAAGACACCAGCTTGTAGAGGAAATCATAGGAGACAAACATACTTTGGTTCAATTACAGGCACATGAGACGTGTTAATTTATGTTTCAGGATGACAGACGCAGTGGCAGTGTCAGATCTTTACGATTTAAAGCTCTGAGTGGCTTTATAAAAATAAAAATAAAATCTTTGCACTAAACAGTTTTAAAATCACCTTTGGTCAAGAGAACCTTTTCACAGCCAGCTCCAACAGCAATTCTGAGGATTGCTCCCAAGTTTCCAGGCACCCGAATGTTGTCACATATTAGGTCCAATGGCAATGGTTTAGACAATCTTCTAATATTTTCTGATGTTGGCATTTCAAATATACCTGGTATCATGAAAATGTACAATGGTATTTGTTCTGTACTGTATTAATGTAACCTCAACAGCGAGCCAACCATCTCCACTAGGAAGTCAAGCTTACATAGTTATTTATTGACAATTTCATAAAGGAAGGTAACACAAAGGAAGTATCTAAGTATGAATAAAAAACAGAATCCTTAAAAAAATTGTGATCAATTAGGCCCATTCTGTAAATAGAAGTTTCTGTGATATGAATAAACAAAAATTAATCCTAAATAATTTATGTTACAATATATGACATGTATACACACTTCTTTGAAATAAAGTAATAATATTGATTACAGAATCAAAGCTAGTCTTTGATATAAATGAAGGTAATCGTGTTGACTTTAGGCAATACCTGTACTGCCTGTAGTAAAATCTAGAATTACAATATGTAATATGTTTTTAATCTGCACCAATATCATGCTTACCAAAAACTCCAGGTGAAGTTTCCACATTTGACCAAAGTTCTATTTCCTTATATGGTATTTTGAAAAATTTTATTCCTGTTTTGGGTAGGAAAGGCCTCAATTTATTCAAATCCTCGACTCGACTGAATATGACATAGTTCAGTTTGCACTTTGCTTCTAAACCGTCTACTATTAACCTCCAACCTTCAACCAACACTTGTCGTGAACGTAGCCTTTCTTTCTTTGATTTTAAGTTTGTAAGTAAAGTGCTGTAAATCGAATTAAATTATTATTCTTCATTGTCAAATGCATATTTTCTAATGATTATTAGAAAATATATAGAACTTACCTTATTCTTCCATCATTGTCCTTAAATTTTTCATATATTATCTCACAATTATCATCAAAAATCTTTTGTTGACTGAGATAAAATTTTCTCTTTCTTAATTTTTCTTTCTTTTTACTTTTTACTTCTTTGGATTTTGCAGGCGGAAGTGATACTTGAAAATGTTTATTTTCGTCGTTTCCGATTTCAGTTGGGTGCTTTTCTTCTGTTTCGTTTAAAATTTTAGAATTCATGTTTATAACATTTTCTTTCTTAAGATGCAGTTTTGTTGTAGGTTCAAATGGCAGCAATACCTTGACTGGGTTCCTGTGCAGCCATCGCCCATATAACCTCACACTGTTTACTTGTGATTGCTGCTGTGCGATCGTCTGTATCAACAACCGCCTAATCAACATTTTTTTATATTAACGCTCAAGATTATTTTATGACAAAATTAGTGTTCTACACAATACTATTCTATTATGATAAAATTTCAAAAAGTGTTGGTTGTTTTGGATTTTGGATGATGATGATCACGGATGACGGATTATGGTCAGTGTTCCCGTTGTACACAATTGAAAGTCCCTAGATGGTCAGAATTTTCCGCTACATTTGGGTAAAAATAATTTCCTAAAATCCGCTAGATATCTCTAAACTACAGTTGCGTAGATTTCAAAATCTAAATCTGTTTTAAAGACTCAAGTCTTTAAAACATTTTTTGCACACATCAGTCAAGTGGTCAATCTGACGAATTGAGCTATGTTCAGTTTTAAGTTTTTGTTATGTGAATAATAAAGGATGCAAGTATAAATGAATATTATTATATATTTAATAAGTAGAGCAAGTTTAAATGTAACAGTATATACATGAGTGACAAGAGTGAAAAAATAACAAGTCAGACTGTAGCCATAGCAACCTACAGCATAGACAATGAAGAGTGATAGAATATGCATTCTCTTCACCCCCTCTGAACTTTTAAGAATTTGGTAATTCTATTTAGAAATTCTTTTAAGTCCAATTTTTCCACTCAAATCTTCCAATCTTGGACCGTACAATGGCTTAGTGAGCATATCTGCCAATTGTGTTGTAGATGGAACTTGTTTCACTAGTAGTTCCCCATTGGTGACACACTCACGTACAAAGAGATGCTTGAGTTTAATGTGTTTAGTACGTTTGTGATACTCATATTTTGGATTATGAGATAGTTTCACAGCCGATTCATTGTCCAAGTAGAGTACTGGTTTTTCTAAGGACATTATATCCTTTAATAGGGCATTCAGCCACAATATTTCTTGTGCGGTTTCACTGGCAGCCATTATTTCTGCCTCTGCCGACGAGATTGAGACAGTCCCTTGTCTTTGGCTTCTCCAGCTTAAAGCGGCTCCGGAGTACATGCAAACGTATCCCGACGTCGATCGTCCAGTTGTTTGATCGCCAGCCAGGTCTGCATCACTGTAGCAAACTAAATGTGGAGGTGACTTCGCCGTAAACGTAAGGCCATTGTTTAGTGTCCCTTTTAGATACCTGAATATACGTTTAACCAGTACAACATCCTTTCTTTCAGGTGCTCCAAGGTTCCTAGACGCAACACCTATAGCGTATGAGATATCTGGTCTAGTGCCCACTGATAGGTATGCCAGTGCACCAACGGCTTGTCTATAAGGAAATTTTCCATTTGCTTCCTCTTCCTCTCCCGTATAATTGTCTTTCGTTATAGGAGTTGGTGCTGCCTTGCAATTAGTCATGCCGTATTTTTGTAGCACTTTCTTTGTATAGGCTTTTTGAGAAATTGTGATAGTGTGATCGTCGCACACGTTAATTTCCATTCCTAGAAAATAAGAGGAAGGTTTGGTAGTAATTTTAAATCTGGCTTTCAGTTCATCTATGAACTCGTATCCTGCTGCAGTTGAATTATGCGCAACCAGCCCGTCATCGACATATAATCCAATCAAGACTTTGGACCGTCCTTTAATTCTAACGTATAGGCAGGGATCTGCTTCACTTTGTTGAAAGCCAACCTCTTGTAAAAACTCGGCTATGCACGAATTCCAGCAGCGCGGCGCCTGTTTCAGTCCGTATAAGCTGCGTTTGAGTTTACAGACTCGTTTGGTTCCATCGTGAAACCCTTCAGGCTGTTTCACATAGATTTCTTCTTTGACTGATCCATTAAGGAAGGCAGTTGCTACGTCAAATTTTCGCAACTTTAAATTTTCTTTAACCGCAATTGCTATTATTGCTCGAATTGTGCTAAGGCGGGCTACAGGACTAAATGTCTTGTCATAGTCCACGCCTTGTTGTTGGGAGTAGCCTTTAACAACTACCCTTGCTTTAAATTTATCTATTGAACCGTCTGGATTCGTTTTCAATTTATAAATCCATTTGCAAGGTAAAGCTTTTCTTCCTTTAGGCAAATTCACTAAAACCCATGTCTGATTTTCGTGTAGTGAATTTATCTCACTTGACATAGCTTTGAGCCATTTATCTTTATAAGGAGATTCCATAGCTTGTTTATAAGTTTCTGGATCCTTCGGTAGGTTTTCGACTTCAGCGACAGCTTCCAGTACAAAGTCATCATACCGTTGTGGTCGCTGTATTGCTGATCTGTTTCTCAGATTATATTGCCCCAGTTCATGTGGTGGAATTTCATGTTCAGATTCATGTTCGTTCGATTCGGATTCAGAATCGTGATCAGGAACTTCGTAGAATTCTTGCTGTTCATCTTCCGTGTCATATTCTTGATCAATGACACCTATTTCTTGAGTGGAATCTGGATCAATTCGAATTGAATTTGTATCTTGTCGTTGATCTTGAGTATCTTCAATGTTCAATTCAATTGTTGGAGTGGTCGAAACAGAGTGAGTAAGATTGTCAAAATTGTTGGTAGTATTTGAGTAAAAATTTGTCTGGACAATTCTTACATCTTTGGAAATAAATATCTTGCGTTTGGTAGGAACATATACCCTGTATGCTTTGCTTGTGTCAGAGTACCCAACAAATACTCCTGGAATCGCTTTAGGTGAAAATTTAGGACCTTTAGCACGACCTTTATATATATAAGCACAAATGCTTTAGTTCCAAAAGTCTGGAGATGATTGACGCACGGTTTTCTTAGTACCGTGTACATTTTTCAAATGGCGTTCTGTTTTCTATAGCACTGTTTATGCTTCTATTGGATAAATAGTTCGCCGTATTTATGGCTTCCGCCCATAGAAACATAGGTGCTTTGGCGTCTATTAGCATTGCTCTAGCTTTCTCCAGCAGTGTACGATTTTTGCGCTCAGCAATTCCGTTCTGGTGTGGGGTATAAGGTGCGGATAAGGTCTTACTATTCCATTTTCCTGAAGATAGGCTTGAAATTTGCCGTTGACATATTCTGTGCCGTTATCTGTTTGCAGGTGCTTGACTTTATTTCCAGTAAATGTTTCCATTTCTCGTTTGTATGTTTTGAAGTGATTTAGTACTTCAGATTTGTTTTTCATAAAGTAGACACGTCCATATCTACTGAAATCGTCTATAAAGGTGACGAAGTAGCAGTTCTTCCCATTAGAAGGTGTGATAGGACCACACACGTCACTGTGGACAATCTCCAAGCGTTCAGTTGTTCTAGGAGTTGATCTTTGTGGAGGGCTTGGTACGCGAGTCATTTTAGCTTGAATGCATGCGTCACAGTCGGACAGAGACTCTTTTTTGTCAAAGTGTAATCCAATCAAAGTCTCCTTGTTGAGAGCTAGACGCAGATCTTTGTCGTTCATATGTCCAAGCTTCCTGTGCCATTCCAGTAAGGAGTTTTTATTCGCACTGTTTGAAATTGTTTCAAATGTAGCTGCGTAATTTTGTTCGATGGTTTGCGACTTGACATAGTAGAGACCACTGTTTTGACATTTTTCCGCAGTCATAACCAAATCTCCTGTCTTATTGCGTACGAACGCTTTATCTTTTTTAAAAGTTACAGAAGCTCCATGTTCTGTCATTTTTGGCACTGAGAGTAAATTTTTACTAAGTGAGGGTACGTACAGAGTGTTTTCGAGATTAATTACTCGATAATTGGTTTTCAGTGTTACTCTGCCTTCACCTTTAATTTCAGTAGAGTGCTGTTCTGAAGCAAAATTAAGTTTTCTTGAAACTGTACTAAAGTTTTTGAAGTACTCATGTTGAAACGTCATATGAGAGGTACAGCCGCTGTCAAGTATCCAGTCGTTCTGGTTGTTTTTGTTTGAAGTGAGGTAGCAATCTTCGGCATAATAGGAACTTATTTTCTGAGCCTTTAGCCGCTTTATTTTTCTTCCAGCAGTTAGAGCAAATCTTGTGCGTCTTCTTCTGAAAGATTTTTCGTCCCGATTTCTTACAGATTTTGCAAGATACGTAGAGTGCGTTTTCTTCTTCATGTGGTGGCGGGCTGACTTCGACGTCACGGTGTCGAGCGTCACTCTCTTCAATAATTTTTATTTTAAGTTCCTCAGGTTTCGGTAGAACGTCGCGTGACTCCATGGCTACACGAAAGTTTTCGTATTCAGAGGAAAGACTGTAGAGCATCAGGATAGTGAGTAGTTCCTCGTTAATATCTACATCCATTTCTGCTAACTTGTCTACTGTGTCCATAAACTTGTTCAGGTGCTCACGAACAATGCTGTCTTCAAGTTTAGTTAGTATTAACCGTTTTAGAAGAGTACCTAGCTTTTCTCGCAGGGCCTTTATTTGCATGTATTTCCTTTAATTTGTCCCATAGGGCTTTCGCAGAAGTGCATTTCTTGATGTCCTTTAACTGTGAAGGTGCAATCAGTAAAATAAGTTCTGACTTAGCCTCTCTGTCGCTGTCAAGTTCATCGTTGCTTGGAGTTGGAGGTAGTGTGTTAGTAACATACTTCCAAAGTTTGTTTTTTATTAGCACGGCTTCAGCTTGTATCGCCCAGGTATCATAGTTATCCTTATCCAAAGGTTCGATGTGATATGTCGTTTTCGGCATCGTCTTATATTGCGCGAGTTTTACACTTCACTTCAAAAATATCGGATTCTTTTACGCTCTGCTACCATTTTAAGTTTTTGTTATGTGAATAATAAAGGATATGCAAGTATAAATGAATATTATTATATATTTAATAAGTAGAGCAAGTTTAAATGTAACAGTATATACATGAGTGACAAGAGTGAAAAAATAACAAGTCAGACTGTAGCCATAGCAACCTACAGCATAGACAATGAAGAGTGATAGAATATGCATTCTCTTCCATAGATACAGAATCAATATTCTGTATCTATGATTCTCTTCACATTCAGCGTTATACAGTGCGTTGCCGTTAACGTGCCGTTAACACACTCCGCTCTTGCACAAAAGTTGCATACATTTATAGTATTGGTCCTTGAGAAAATTACAATTATCTGTACTGAGAATTAGTTCGCATCTTTTTTGTGTTTTTTTTTGTTTCTAAATGCTTTTTCAAGTCATTAATTTTTGCGTACATTTCGCAGTGGCAACTACAAAATGCTTTTGTAGAGTCACCTGGTACTGGTTTCAACCAATGTTTGAACTCCTCGTACTTTACCCTTTCGTTTCTATAATTCCATGCTTATTTGAAAATCGAATTTGATTCAAAAACAGTAAACAAAATTGCAAATAATTATGACATTATGAACCAAAAAGCACTTATTTTAATTTAGTTTTGAACACAACAAACAAAAAATAATTATATTCATCTCATCATTCTGTGAGTGAAAAAGATTCAATCAATAGGTTTTTTTCTTCCTCATTCCTAATTGCAACGAGCGAGAAAGGCATCAAACGAACGAATAGATATTGAAAGTTTGTTTATTACAGGGAATTGCCGTTCAATCCGATTCTACGTTAGTGTTATCAACGTTAGAACTAGAAAATTGGCCGAATATTACTAATTTACCGTATTTGATTGACAGGGTATAATGTTTGTTTCTGAAAAGAGCCTAGCGGTCAAAAAGACGCTAGAAGTAGTTTCTACCCGCTAAACATGCATAAAATCCTCTAGATCTAGCGACAAAGGTGCTAGAACAGCAATCCTGATTATGGTATGGTGTTGACGTTGATTTATGTTGTTTTTTTTTCTTCTTTCCATAAAGGAAAAGGCAAAGATTTTACACCATACAGCCAAGTCTTGGTACATTATTCTTTTTTGGTACATGAAGTTGAATTATGTTTCTGTAAATATGGCCACCACAAAGAGGATAGGCAATTTGAGGCGGCGTGCTTGGATTGACTCGGGATTCCTTAGAACGGGCTGATACGGGTATTTTAGTTCGAGATTCGTATAATTTCGCGTTTTAATCTTCGATTAAGGCACAATAGCACTATCCTATTCCACTTTAAACTAGATTTCACAAAATAATTGAAAGTCAAAATAAAAACGACACTTTTCCCTCCAAAAGGTCCAGAGCGAATCTTGATTTATGTTGTTGGTTTACTGACATACAAATTATTATACACAAACTACTTTATTATAGAAAGATAGGACTGACACTATATAGGTTTGACACTGACATATACTTTCTTAATTTATTGAGGATTTGGCTAAGCCATCAGCACAAACGCGAACACTCAGATATTTCCTTAGACTAATTTTTTTCCATCCTCTAAGCATATTTTGTGGACCAGAGACACTTCTTTATTATTGTTAATGGCTTTGCCTTCAAATTTAGCCAATGATGGGGATGGGAAAGGTACAGGGTCATCTAGCTAGACACTTAAGATTTAAATCTAACTCTTTGCCGCTTACTTTAAGAACCACCAAGTAGTTTTGTATTAGGAACGATTAGTGTTGTAACTTGAAAAAAAAAACAAATTTTTTTTTCACATTTTTGAAAAAAAAAAAACATGAAAAAAAAACACAGCACCCTGGTTTTTTCTACATTTAATTTTTTTCAGTAAAAATAAACTGGAATAACTGAAATAAAATAAGACACTAACTTTTATTTTTCATACAGGAGACCGACCTAACCTTAACGGGAGGAAGAGGAAGGGTCGTGGGCTCAAGACGCATCGACTGATAATAGTAGTAGTTTTACAATTCCAGACAAAGTGCTTCAAATCCTGCCGAATAATTTTATTTAAGCAGCTTGCTAATAATTCTTTGTAAATGTTGCTATTTAAGGGATATGTGCGATGTGGAAAAAAATATTAATATTAGATAAATAAATAAATAGCGTTTTTATCAGTAATCATTAAAGTAGCGATGCAACAGCAATCGATAGATTTTAAAAACAGGTAAAATGTTAGAATCCCCACATTTTCCCCACATAGCGTCAATACCACAAAATGCCCAATCGAGATGAAATTCCCCGCAATTTGGGGAATTCGCCACAAATTGACAACACTGTGAAATGTTGCCCATTTATTTTGAGCAATTTATCTACGAAGAATAATATTAACATCGAGTATATAACCAGAAATAGAGACGAAATGTTATTTAACGTGTTTGAAATATCCTGCCATATCATTCTTAGAGGATGGAAAAAAAAAATAGTCTAAGATATCATTACTGTGACAACTGTGCTCCGATTGACTAGCCCGAGTTCGAAACATTGACGGGTGTCATCAATAAGTGTCGTCAACTGTTTCACTTCAAATCGACCAGTTAACTTGAGCTTTGCTACAATGGACGTTAATTGCAAAATTACATATTTAATATTCAATTACCGATGAAATGTGATTCCGTTTGTTTTGTAATTAGATGTTTTGCTGTTTTTCCCACACCACCGAATAGAAATATTATTTTTATTACAATAAATAAATAAATACAGAATATTTTTTGGAATATACGGAGACGTACACACAGGTCAGTAGTTGGCTTGTCTATATTTCAGTGTAAACGGGAGTTGATATTTGAGCTGTATCGCTAATGTGTTATCACAGGAATATATGGCCCTTATTTCGTCTCTATTTCTGGTTATACACTCGATGAATATTAACAACAAAAGAGGAAATGTAGTAAAAAAAATACAATTGTCATATAGTCATATTTTTATTTTCATATTATTAGAAAAAGGCGTACTTCAGAAAAAAAACGGTTTCTTTTCATGTTTTTTTCATTGTTTTTTTTCACCTCAGAAAAAAAACTGTTTTTTAATAACACCAGGAACTTTTATTTTTTTTCCATCCTCTAAGACTAGGAACGATCCAAAGTTTTTTCCATCCTCTAAGAAAGTAACATACGAAGTGTCAAGCTTGACGTGCTCTTGACTGTACGGAACAGACTATGGAAGAGCTACGGAATTTGAATGAAAATGAATATGGTAGGTTGGGTTAGATAAAAGATAAAAAGGAAGATATTTACACACGCACCACACGTGCCTATATTTAATTTGAGGAGGATTTATTTCACTTTTTACTTTAAATTGATCTAAAACTGGCAACTCAGTTCGGATGTGCAAAACATAGACTTTAAACCAGAACAAAAAAAAAATATATCGTCGTCTATGAATGAATACCCAGCTCGACAAGTCAACTGTTAATAATATAATAATTGTGGTTTTTGTGAATGCGTATATAGTGTTTATTTATAAATCGACCAGTGAAGGCCTATCAAAATGGCAACAGGAGTACCACCTCGAGATGATGAACCATCACTCTCTCGCATTGATTTAGAAAATATTCAAGAAGCGATGAAGCAAAAGAAATTTCGAGATTTGTTGGCCGAGTACTGCGAGGAAGTACGTGACCCGGCGAACCAAGCTATCTATCAGAAAGAAATGACCCAACTCGAGAAAGAACGAGGCTACGACGTAACATTTATTAATCCTAAGGCAGGTTATGTCATCAAAACAAGTGTTGCAGGTGACAGGAAAGCTTTTATAAACATTTGTAGTAATGAAAATGTCGGCAAACCATCCGGCAACGTTCAGATCGTCGACGGAAAGAAAGGCATGAACTGGCAGGTGCCTTATTCTCTTGTACCACCTCGAGAAGATTACAACGACAAAAGAGAAAGATGTGTGATATATGACGTGGTGTTTCATCCAGACACACTGCGGATGGCATATGCTAATAATGAGTTCCGCAACTTGGTGAATAAAACCGCAATCGAGGGTTTAGCAAAGACATACAATATCCATTTAGACAGTAATAATTGCCGCTTTCCTAAGTCACAATACAAGGGGTTTGCCGTTCCATCTGTTATAAGGACAGAAGATCCAAACTACAAACCTCCTACAGATGAAGATGTTAGAGAACTGACACCAGAAATTTTAGAGAAATTGTATCCACAAAAAAGTTATGCTGGAATGTCACCTGAGTCTAAAGATGCAAGAATAGCTTTGAAAAATTCTCAACTCGAGCAACCTAAACCTAAGATAGCATCTAGTGCATTGCCGCAGGCAAGAAGAACTCTGATGAGAGATAAGAATGAATTTACTCATGCAACTGAAAATGGATACACTATACCTAAATATGTCATAAAACAGCAAAAAGCCATAGATTTGCAAGACTTCACCTACAATAAAGACTGTAAACAATATTCTGCTATTCCCAATTGTATAGTAGTGGAGATCAATCTTCCTCTCTTGTCATCTACTAAAGATTGCACTCTGGATGTAAAAGAGAAATCATTAAGTATAAAATCTGAGAGCCCAGCTAAATATAAACTAGATGTCTCACTTCCCTATTATGTTAACGAAGAATGTGGTAATGCAAAATTTGATAAAAAGAGACATATGTTAATTGTTACCCTCCCAGTTATGCGAAAACATGTAACCCCAATGAATGAATGTTCTTCAAAAATTGATAGTGGTGTAGAGAGTGAAGAAAACTCAGGTTCTCAGAGTGATGAAGAAAATTCTAGAGAAAATTTAATTGTAGAGTTGCCTTCAGCACCTGTAGAGTCTACTGCCCAACAAGTACAGCTACCTGAGTCCACATTTAAAACTGAAACATTTTTGAATCCTTCATTGGGTTACTCCCTGCCACCTTACACACATAATGTGCTGGATGATGTGATAGCATTCACTTTTCATGTTAAAAATACTGAGCCTGAATCAGTTATAGTAAAAAAGGATGGTAACAAAATTTTGATAAAATTTACATCTGTTGGATCAGGATATGTACCAGTACATTATGCTGCCATACTTGCCTTTGATGAGAGTGTTACATTCGAAAATGTGAGTGGAGAAGCATGGGACAATAATGTAATATTACAAATGGAACTAAATGGATATGCCCCTCAGAAATTTAAAATTGGTATATGCGAAGATTCAATGTTGATTGAAGAATTTGATGTGTCTGAAATTAAGAAAACTTCAAAGGTTTTTGCAACTACTAATTCAATAGCTGCTCAAGAAGGAGAGCCATCTCCTGTTGTGGAAGTGACCAATTTAGGTTCTGAAACGAATATAGTTGTATCTTCCAACAACTCTGATGAACTTGATGAAGATGATGACGATGTTAACTCTCCTATTCTTAAAGACGAAGACTATAAAGAAGAGATTGTGTGGACAGACACCGGAAATTCTGAAAATGGAGCTAAAGGCATATTGCGTAAACCACCTACAATGAGGAGTTTTTCAGAGTCTAGTGTAGATTTTGCATCATCCATGGATTACATCAGCTCTGATTGTATTCCAGAAGAATTTAGTTTGAAAAAGACTGTTAGGTTTAACGATGTCATTGCCCGACAATTTTATAGGTGGGTTGCATGTATAATATGATTTTTTCTGCATCTATTATCAGGTGAATGATGGGGAAAATTGGCATCTATCTTAGAATTGTACTTATCATATCAACACGGTAATACTAACAATTTAAGCAAAGTGATCAAGGTGTTGATATGATAACAATTAAAGTAAACAATAAGATAATTTTCGAACATCCTGTCTTGGTGACTAATACTGGTTATTCATGGTCAACTTACTGTATTTCAGGTACAATTCTTCCATTGAAGGACAGAAAAAGAAAAACCAACGTAAAAAAAGTAAAAAACGTAATCAAGAGCAGCGAAAAAGTGAAAGTGAAGCTGAAGATGAGGTTTTCAATTTGTCAAAGGTACAACCTTTTCACTAAAATCATTGATATTGTTGTAATTGAAAAATTTTAATTTAAATTTTTAATTTTTAATTTAAAAAACATTCTTACCAATATTTTAAAATTTTCCATGATTATGCAAACAACTGTGTTTACTGAATGTGTTATACAGGTATGCTTGTGTGAAAACAAACAATCCTCATTGTTTTATCCAGTACAGTTGTAACTGATTCTTAAGATAACATAACCTACTCATGTTTTTTTTTCATGTTTTTCAGACTACCAGGCCTAAGTTGAAATCGGCGATTAAGTTACGCCGCGACAGCGGACTTGCAGATACTTCTGATGCTGAAGTTGATTGCAAAAACGAATCAAGAGATCATGAAACTACTCTCGATATGTCTAAGATGTCCCATGGGTTTGAAGAGCAATCAAATGAAAATCTTAGATCTGTGCTGAATATTGTCGATAACACGGATGAAGAAGCAAAAGAGTATGATGTAAAATCTGAAATGTTGAGTGATAATACAAATGATGAGAACAAGCAATACTCTACTGAAGGCAAGAATGACAATAGGGTCAGAGAAACCACTAAGTCTGTGCTGAATATAATCAACAATAAGAGTGCTGCAAATGAAAAGGCAGAACCTGCTATTTGGGAATCTGAAGCATCTATACCTCCTAACCCTGACACTAAAAATGAAGAAAAAAAAGAGACCTCTTGTGAATCAATCACCTGTGATAGTATCAAACATAAAACCAACCTGTATGACCCCTCAAAATTAAACAAGGGTCACTATCTAGAAGTTAAGTTTAAAAATGATCTCATATTTGATTTGGACATGTGAGATTTGCAACCTGTGTTGCAATTCTTTTAAAGGGAGTCATACCTTTTAGTATACTGTCTATAAAAACTTCTAATATACTGTCTATCACTTTATTACACAGTGGGTTTTGTTGTCTTGGAACTGACAAGTATTATATATTTTTCTTTAAAAGGCTTATATTTAAATTGTGTTCCTTTATATTGTGAAAATGTATTTAGTGTGCTGCATATTTTGGTTTATGGCAATGGTAGCAATGTTGATCGTGAACACCATTGTGCGAAGTGTTTGATAATTCTGTACCAGTGTTGTTTAAGCTTTTATCTACTTAATTTTAATTTCCACCTACTTAATTTTAATTTCCATATCATGCGTCCGTAATATCAGCAATGACCCAAAACAATTGGCACTAAATATTTCGGGTACTTACTAAATGTGTTCACTTATTTTTGACAATATTAATATTATGCGTAGTTGTCATCAATGCATTTGTATGGTACAAATTAGGTTATAATAATGTTGTATTAAACATTTCTTACTTATATGTGTTTAGATCACTAAGCATGCACGTTTTGCAAGTAATAAACTTTTAATTGTGACAAATAGTAGATCATTGAAACTCTTCACGCTGAAATGGGATTGAAGCATATAAGGAGTATATGAATTTACATCGTCTGGACGAGTTAGTAAAGTATGACTTGGTGTGTTAGTAAAGTATATTTCAGTAACTACAGATAAGCCATCATATTGTTATCTGTTTTAAAATGTTCACTGCTTACTTATCAGTGCCTTTATGAAATTCCTAAATTCTTATTGATTTAACATTTTGGGTATAAACACAGTTATTTATCAGCTGTTGTCATAAACCAGGCATTTTAGTGACTAGTGTGAGTAATTAAAAGTTATATTGTGTACTACAGAAGTTATGTTTTACGTAAATTTTAATTAATCATTGTCAACACGAATGTGATTTTAGACGGTTTAAATATATGATTCTAATTAAAATTATTCTTTTATTCTCATGTTATGTTGTGGGAAGTGGGTATATGCGTGGCATATTGCATCTAGATTCTGTCCCAACTATAGCGTATAATTCCACGCCTATTGCTTATGCTTCTACTGCAACTAATCTTGGCTTGCTTTTGGATTGTAATTTGGTTTGGACTCCACATATTAATGAAGTCAGTCGTAAAGTCCATTTCTCCTTGCACTCACTTAAGCGCCTCCAAAACGATTTACCTTTAAAAACCAAGATATGTTTAGTCCAAACACTTATTTTGCCCTTCTTAGACTATGCTGATTCCTGCTATTTGGATGCTACTGAAGAACTGCTAAATAAGCTTGAACGACTGCAAAACCTATGTATAAGGTTCATCTTTGGGCTTCGTAAATATGACCGAATTTCACATTTCCGCAGTCAGCTCAAATGGCTTCCCATCCGTCTCCGCAGGAATTTGCATATTGTCTCCATTCTTTACAATATTTTACATAACCCTGTGTCTCCCGGGTACCTGAAAGAGCGTTTCAGCTTCCTTAGGTCCCAGGATAAACCCTGTCACTCTCTTGTTAGGTCCCAGTTATCTTTTCCATGCTTCAATTCCGGTTTCTACTCTCACTCCTTCACTGTTCATGCGGTCAGACTTTGGAATGCACTTCCTATTACTGTTCACGAAAGTAAATCGTTAGCTATTTTTAAAGTGAGAGTTAAAGAGCATTATTTATCTACTATTCCATCCATATCTTAGGTATTATAAAATATGTATTTATCTAAATATTTATATAATTTACATATAATTTATAACAATTTAATATATTTAATATATTTATATTATTTTTATAATTTTTTTTCTTGTTTTGTTGTGCACATATGCCCGTTCTTTTAGTTAAAGTGTCCTGTATTTAGGTCTGCAGGAAGAAATTTCTATTAGAAATAAGCAGAACCTTTTGTTTTTAATTTCGCTTGTATTCTTTGTGACTTGTTGTATTTTTCCTGTACAATAAACTATTAAATAAATAAATAAATAAACAATCACTGAAACATATTTTTCATACACTTCGACAGCAACAGCAGCAGCTACACCAGATGATGAAATCATTGACCGCGTAACTGGTTCTTAATTTTTGGAAATAAATAAAAGTCACAAGGTGCCAGGTCGGGACTGTACGCGGGATGGCTCATAAGGTCAACGTTGTTCACCTTTAAAAATTCATTTCATCCGCTTTGCACGCGTGCCACTTTGTTTCGGCACATCTCGAAAGACCCAAACGCTCGATTGCTGCTTTGTTTTGGGATCGTAGCAATAAAACCATGTTTCGTCACCTGTTACTATGTCCCACACCAAATTTGACGCCCCCTTCATTAATAATTTCGTTATATTATTTATTCCATTTATATTCAAATTCATTTTCACAAAATAACTGAAAGAAAGTTAACAATCCGTAACTAATAAGCACGACAGATAGAGCCATAAAGAAACGCGCACTGAGTTCCTATAATAATTTTATTCGTGGCACTTACCCATTGAAGTCCTGACCGGGCCTTTTACTTAATGTGTCAACACATTAAGTAAAAGGGCCGGCCAGTGGCAAACACTTTGGACCAAAAATTATATGTGTGTGATGTGAGTGAAGAGAGTTGAAGATTGGACGTTACCACCAAATTTCGTTTGTGTGAACAGATTGAACAATTTGTTGTACTACTACTACTAGAATGTGGAATATTGTACTAGCAAATAGTCTATGTTCGCTTTTCCACACTTAATAAAATATTTGCCACTATTATTTTGATATCCTTTTATAAAATATTATTTACACCGTTGGGGATATTAGTTGCTAGCTAGTTTTGATTTTAATGTAGCGTTATTAACTATACTGCGTACAATAAGTCGCAATTTTACAAAAAATAAGTTACATACTGATTCAGAATCAGCGTAATGAGCTTTACATTACAATAAATCCCTCTTAATTGTATTTTAGCTAGATCCTTAAATTTCGTTCAAACTCAAATTAGCATTAGAACAGTACCTAAGTCATAAAATGTGCTCTAGACTACTTAGCACAATCGCAGTAAGTATATTTACTGTTAAAGTTTAAGTCTCTTTCTAAGTAAGTAAGTATCAAGGTATAGGCAGTATTCCTTTTTTTTAAAATAACATCAAGTGACGAGATGTACAAGTCTTGCGTCATCTGTCCATAACAGTTACAGTGCGACTCAGAGCTTTAAATAGTAAAGATCATGGACACTGCCACTGCGTCCGTCACCCAGAGAGATAAGTTGACAAGTCCCATGTGCATGTAATTTCACCAGCACCCTTACCCTTCAAAACCGGAACACAGTAATACTAATATTACTGCTCGGTGGCAGAAATAGGTAAGGTGGCAGTGCTACCTTGGACGAACTTTTTCACAAGGAACTCTACTGCTACTAAAATGCATGTATTAAAAGCAAAACTTATTTTATCAAACTGTTGTAATTTTTAATTTGTAATCGTATCCTTCATCACTTTCCAGTTAGCGAGTTCACGGTCTTTATGGACAATAAAATATGTTTTGTTTATTTTCCCAAAATATCGCTGCTGTATATCTACTACAGCGTTGTGAACAAAAATTCAAAGATACATTGCAGTCGCGCCTAACTAAATAATTGCGAGCGCTATAGTCGCACTATAAGAACTTATTTTAGATACTTAGGCGCACTTTACCGCTCTCATAGCTCCTTTGTATTACTTAGGTGCACATACACAGGTGGACTCTGAGGTCGAACTCAGAGCAACCCTCCCGCCCTCCGACCCTCCTCTCCCCCCGGTCACCCCAAAGGAAGTAGAATCGCTCATAAAGGACCTCAAGCCCCGCAAAACCCCAGGCCCTGACGGTATCTCCAACAAGGTGCTTAAACAGCTTTCCGCACCCCTCATCTGTCTCCTGACTGCAATTTTTAACGCCGCTCTGACCAACTGCATCTTTCCGCAAAAGTGGAAAGAGGCGGTGGTCATCGGTATTCACAAGCCCGAGAAACCTCCATCTGAACCCTCCAGTTACCGTCCCATCTCCCTGCTTAACACCATGGGCAAACTCTATGAGCGCATCCTATACGCCCGCCTCAGAGACTACGTCATGTCTCACAATCTCCTCCCCGACGAACAGTTCGGTTTCAGAGCTAGGCACTCATGCGTCCAGCAAGTGCACCGGATAGTGGAACATATCTCCGAAGGTTTCGATCGCCCCCGCTTCATGCCCACCGGCGCCCTCTTCTTCGATGTGGCAAAAGCTTTCGACAAAGTCTGGCACAACGGCTTACTTTACAAGCTTTACAATCTCGGCGTGCCTGATCATCTCGTGTACATCATTCGTGACTTCTTGTCGAACCGCTCCTTCCGCTACCGAGTTGAGGGCGCACTCTCCTCCCCTCACCCCGTAAGAGCTGGAGTCCCGCAAGGCTCTGTCCTCTCGCCTCTCCTATTTTCCCTGTACACTTGCGATATCCCGAAGTATCAGGCAGTAAATCTCGCCCTATTTGCCGACGACACTGCGCTCTACTATTCGGCGCGCAGCTCCAAGCTAGTTTCCGCGGCTCTCCAATCTGCCACCACACGCCTAGGCGAGTGGTTTCGCAGATGGAGAATCGAAGTCAATCCCGACAAAAGCGCGGCGGTATTCTTCACGCGAAGTAACCTATCCAGTCGTAGGGTACAAGACCTCACCCCGATCTCGCTCTTTGACCGCCTATACCCTTGGGTGAACACGGTCAAATACTTAGGAGTTTAGCTCGATAGGAAGCTGTCATTCAAAGCACACGTGAAAACCATCCGCGATCGCGCCCACTTTGTTATGAGCCGGCTCCATCCCCTTCTCAACAAGCATAGCAAACTCTCCCTTCGCAATAAGGTGAGACTGTACACGACCTGCATCCGCCCAATCATGACGTACGCCAGCATCGCATTCGCTCAGGCAAATCCCGCGCTAATACACCGCCTGCAGGCTCACCAAAATAGATTCATGCGCAACGCGACGGGTGCTGTTACGGGGCGGGTCAGGAAAAGCTTTTTAAAAAAAACTATTTTTAAAACACTTAACTTTATTCTCAAAGAAAAGGTATGTGCCTCATGCAAATCCTATACGAACTGCCTGCTCCGCGCATGCCCGGTTGCACGCGTTTTCGGTTTCCTATTGCATTGACGTAAATGCAATGGGAAACTCAGCGATTTTATTTTATATTTTAACCCATGTAAATTCGGATATAACAGTGCCCCGTGGTACCTGCGCAACGCTAACCTCCATATAGATTTACGGCTCCCCACAATAGCCAAATTCATGAAACAGGCATCGAGGAAATACTTCGACTCTGCTCCTCACCACCCCAACCCCCTCAGGGAACAACTCCACCGCGTACGTAGGACCCGTCGGCAAAGGAAAGTCCTCAACGACCCTGACGACCTTATCACTCTCGCCACTTTGAAGGTCAACCAGATCGCTAGTCAGTCCCGTCCCTCACGCACCAACCGTCTTCGCCGGCGAGGTCGTCGAGCCCCTCACTTCAGCACGTACAGTGGTAGATTCTCTCCTACAGCACGCCCTTCTGGCGGAAGTCTCCAGTAGCGCCCTGAGCCGAGGTCCGTGCCCACTTGGGCGCCCTCAGGCCCGCTACTTAGCTTTAAGTTTATTTTCGGGGTTATGAGCCTTCAGCTCGCCCTCTTTCTCCGGTGGCGCAGTAAAGGCCATCAGCGGCCAACTGCAAAATATCATTCATAAAAAAAAAGGTGGGGGTTTTTTGACGGTTGGCAACGAACTTGAGCGGTCGTTCTGCTGGAACTAAGTTAAATGTTATTCTAACGGCTTCTTGTATTTTCGAATGTGTTTAAATCTAGCTAATACTTAATAGCTAATAATTTCTTAATATAAATGCTATTGTGTGCAGCATAAAAAAAAGTTATTATAGGATGTGAAAGCATATAGATTAAAG